ATTATACATAGGCCTACACTATACCTGTATTAACGTCTACAGTTCAGCAGTTGCAAGGTACAGTGAGTTAATATTGTTTGATATTGGGATGTGGCGATTAACATTTATGTAAACATCCATCCCAAGTTTTAAAATAAAAATAAGCACATTACCCCTGTACTGACATTTCTTATTTTTGAAGTTGATAATGGCATTGATATTGCTTGATTGGGTCAAGTGTCCTATTATTATTTATATATTTAAATCATATTATAAACGATAATTAAAATATGTGTAACATTACTGAAATAATATATCAAATAACAATATAAATTATCAATGAATTTGTGACTGCTGCCTTTAGGCAACCTGTATAAAAATCTTCTCTCTGTAACTGGAGAGCAATCAAGAACAAAGCACTGGACCATTTTCTGAACACTGTACCTTAGCTGACTGCCGACTCGACTCTATGTGGAGAATAAAGAAATATAAGAGATTAAAATCAATAGTACACAGGCTAGTACAGCTATCTAGACAGCCATGGACTACTTTAATAGCTAAGCCTAATTAATGAACAGTGGGCTAGCATCGCACCGCCACACGAACTGGGATGCTCAGTGAAATACAGGTCTCTTCAAACGGGGCCTAGCCTAGACTTTGACTGGAATAGAGTTAAGAATGGCGTGGTATTTAGCATTTATGCAAACTTGAAAATCACTTACTATAACAACAATAAATCACATAATAACTAAGTTTAAAAATAATAACTCGTGGATATCGTATCGTACATGTCTTCTACAAACATGATTTAAACTACGGCGGTGTACCGACGCCTAGGCCTACGATCGGAAGATTTTAAAATGCTAATTTTTATAACTTATGATTCGAAAATAAAGGTGCACTTACGATAGGCCTATAGATTATTTATTTTCAGTGCCTTTCCGGAATTAAATGGGGAAATGCAATATAAGTTACAGAAATGCGTTAAACTTGCCAGTTTACCACAGAATTGGGAACATCGGCGATCGCCCAAAAATTTCAGATGGGGACCGTTGGAGGATCGTCGATGCCACCTTCACCCAGACCTAGGATCAGAAATCGCGGGCCTGCATGTCGACAACCAATTGGGGATGTGACGTAAATCTATTTCCGGTCGCCTCGAAAGCGGTAGCGAACGCAGTTTGGCCATTTTTTTTATCTAAACAATCTCGCTCACGACCCAGTATCTCAACCGCTCGCGATCGATGGAGACATGTGAACGAGACTTGATTTGGACTTGCCAGGAATATCCCCACCGAAAGACAAATAAAATGCTGAACTTGCCAATAGACAAATTACACAGAATGTTTTTAGGCTCTCAGATCATTTTGAAGTGCAATGACTATGTTAAAATGGCAATGCATTATGCACAAAAAAAAATCATACAGCTTATATATTGTCTGCATTCATTTTGGTAACAATAATATATAATTTTTTTTTAAAATTGAGTAAATTGTTAAAAATCTATACCTCATGAATAAACAAAATGTAGACGATAATGTAAGCAGTTTGAGTGTTCATATGTTTTGCTGTTCGACATTAATAATAATAGTAACAATAATAATAAATTTATTCGAAACAAGGTTTTTAAACAGTGGCACACGCTTTTGCGGCGCATTCGTAAAAGTAACACAATGTAAAACGAGACACTTTATACAATAAAAAAATGTTACAAAATTGTACAAATGTTGTGTATTTACTCAGTTTATCATAAAATGCCTGTTAAAAAGCTTCGTGAGGGTATGTCGTAAAAATATTAAAAACGATAGATTAAGAGATAAAATGGGATAACAGGATATAAGAACCAGATTTCCGAACATAAAACAATTTCAATGTCGTAAAATAATTTCACTTACCAATCTTTGCATTAGTAGTTTCATTATCTTCTGCTTCAGCTGTTTGTAATTTCTGAATGTACTTATCTGCTAAATATCGGAACACATCTTCAACGTTTAAATTCTCTTTTACTGATGTTCGGTAAAATCGTAGTTTCAAGCGTTTCGCTAAGGCTTCTGCTTCTTCTCTAAAGTCACAAAAAATGTAGAATGAGTAAGCTATTAAATTTTTTAAATAATGTGTTTTGATTCAGGAAACAAACCCATGACCACCAAAAAATAAGTATATACTTGTAAACAAATTATTGATCAAAATGATTTGAAACATGAATACTGAATTTAACCATTTAAATCAACAACAAAAAATAAAAACTTATTTCAAATTTTATATTAAAAATAATGTATTCAATTTTAATTGAATGAATAATTAACCAGGACTTGACTGATAGCATAATATAAATATTACTTTGTTTCAGAATGCTTAATAATATTGTAATTTAAGTAGAAAAATTGTGTTTTTCTACTTTTTTACTCTTAAGGGAGAAAAAATTGCATGTATAAATTTTTATTTCAAAATACTAAAAAGTAACTTTATGAAAGAAAACCTGCTAGTTGCTTTTAGTGTATCCTCTGGAAAAGACAAACACCATCCAACTTACGGTTCTAATACGGCTTCATCCACCAGATCTATTTTGTTTTGTATAAGAACCATCGGAATAGACAATACCTCTTCTTCTACTTTCCGTTTCCAAGACTCTATCGCTTCAAATGAGTCACGATCTACAGTTGAGAATGCTAAAACACACGCTTGAGCACCTATGGTAAGATAAGGAAGATATTGAATTCAGACAAGGGGTGGTGCTATCAGAAAAGTCATGATCATGGTTGACAATATGTGGATGTGTCTGTTAATCCCCTACAGTGAAATACACTGAGAAGATAGAGGATTGTGAACCAGTAGCAGAAATTAGTGGTGTATCTAGGGAGTGCACATGCTCCCACACCACGCCCTGCCCCCTCTTCAACACTGTAGCAATATTGATATTACACATAGAATACGGAAAAACCAAATGTGACTAGAGAAAATCCATGAGGCATTGTGTTGTCAAGAATTTTGTTTGTTACCATTTCAAATCTATCTGTTAAAAATTCATTTTTAACAGATAGACAGGTTCTGTCTTGTGGGACTTCCTATAAAAAATGACATTTTACACTCTATTAATTACGATATAACAGACAGTACCTGTATAGATATCACGGTACAAAAAATAGCATATTATTAACTATTCTATAATTAGTTGGTTAAAATTTAATGATGAAGCTGGTATTGACTGCCAGCTTATTAAGCTTGTGTTAAATAAATTACATCTTGAAAATTATCTCAGAGTGCTGTCTTATTACCCATTATAATACCATTAACATTATAACATTGTTGGAAGTAATGAAACACCATGTAGTTGAGGCTACTGTAGTTGTGATGATGTTAATCCAAGTGACAATTTGAATTTCTTTTGTACCTGATCTACAGGCTCTAATTCTTATCTGATAGATAGATGACATTATTGCCACTTATATTCAGCTGCAAGTATTATGAAAACAATTAGAGCACGCATAACTTAAGGTTTGTATATTCAGGCTCCAATTAGCATGTTTAATCATTAAAGAAGAACCAAATTGACTAATTACCACGGTAGTATGATTTTGTGATAGCATCAAATTCCTCCTGCCCAGCCGTGTCCCATAACATCATCCTTACTTCCTCATCGTTTACTCTGTAATTAATCCAACAACGGTTTAGTAAGCATGGCAACAAATTTCAAGAGAACAGTACTGTACAACAAACATGAATTGAAAATTAAATATAAAATAAATATTACAAACAGGACTTATTATATGACTTTTTACAGAATAGTTATTTATTTTGTACATTTTTGCAATTTAGAATGCTTTGCTTTGTACTGTACTACAAATTATTTTTAGTGTTAAAGTGATTTTTATCATTTTGGCATTATTTTGTATGTGTTGTTGGACCTAAAAAAAAGGATAAAAATGCTTTTGCACGAACCAGTTGACTCAGTGTAAGCAAAGATAGTAAATAGTCGAAAATAGAGCAGCTTTGCGATATATTGGAACGTCTGGTCGAAATGCATTGTGGGAGAATGGAGAGGAATTTTACCCTGTCCGCGCAGCGGTACTATATACTGTATCAATAATAAAGTCACTGCTCAGGTTTGTTCGTTATCTGTAGTTTCTCCACTTAGTCAAATGGTCAAGTTTTACCCCGCTCACGGGAGGGTGGATGCTCCATCAAATTTAATGCAAATACGCGGAAGAACTCATTCTTCTGCTATTAAGTTCTTTGGTGCAAGAGAATAATATAATTAATCATTTTTAAACTAAAATTGATGAGATACAAATTAAATGGTACAGTACAGTATACCCAATTCCATAGCTACTGTACATAGTGAACCATGTCATATGTACAAACTGATTGTTAATGTTATGGTGCTGTTTTAGTATCCAGTATTACACTGGACTGATGAGCCAATGCATGATAATGTAGGTCTACTACAATAAAAAATGATATTGGCATCATGCAAGATAAGCTTTATGTTTAACCAAAATTCCACAACAGGTAACTTCAGATCATTGCCATGGCAATGACTACAATGCACATGAAACACAGTGATGAATGAGTGTGAATTGATTCATGAGATATGAATTGATAATTAATTCATAATTTAAAGCTATCATCATGTTTATTACAATACTATTTGCACTACTGTATAGGGTTATATATACAATGCAATATTATTAAGACTCAATCCATTATCAATTATATAATTGGTTACCGTATATTAAAGATAATATAGTCAGCTATTATTATTATTATTTAAATTATTATTATTATTAAAATTAATGTTAAAATCAAAATTTAAGATAATGCTTCCACTAGCAAACTTGTGAACACAAACTATAACCTTCAACCTATTACTACAGTATTGAAATTACATTTTGCAAACAAAAGGAAAATAAAAATGCCTTAAAAAATGTCTTGTGAATCAATAACTATCAAAAGATCAGAAGTACTGTTAGATCTACTATCCATGTTTCCCAGGCATGCTATTGCTATATATTTTAAGCTATAATTATTATTCATACAAATGTCATAAATTAGATATTTGATTTTTAATATTTACAGTTCTACAGCAAATATTAAACTTCATTTCATAGAATATGACAAATTTGCACAATTAATGAAAGAAACATGTAAACATTAATATTATATGATAAAATGAATTCATCACACCATTTTAAATCTACCATACAGTAAACCTGTTAAAATGGTATGATCAAACATTATATTTTTTATCAGGAGGGAAAAATGGTCACTTTATTGGAAACATTAAAAACAAATGTTTTTGATTAATATCATCATCATCAGGAAAAATATGAGTATTGTAATTGTATGAAAGCACTTACTCAATTTGTTTTTCTAAGAAGTCAACACCAATTGTCTTCTTATAATCCGCTGTGAATATTCCTTTACAGTAACGTTGTATCATGCTGGATTTGCCGACTGCACCGTTGCCGACCACGATCACTTTAATCGCAATCTCAATATCCTCTTCCTTCATGATTCTTCAGTAAATTTCAAAACCTGCAATCAAATTCAAAGGCAATATGCCATTAAATGCTGAATGGTGGAATTATTATCTCCATGAAGGAAAACTTATGGCAATTATTGTTATTGCTACCATACAAATTATGTAGTGCTGAACATTACGTATTGTGAATATTACTTGAGCCACATGCCTTTAATGACAATTGAGCATTTTAGACTACATCCTTACTGCTAGACTCATTTGATGCTGGAGGAGAGATTGCTTCTTATTTATAAATCACAATCAATTAGAAAATAATAATGAGTGAAATAGATCTGTAGATGGTAGTTAAGAAGCTGGTTTTTAGAAATTATGATGAGGATTAGAAATGGGATTTTAACAACATATTGAAGCTAAAAATAAACCCTATTGTAAGTCTCTGTAATCTCATTATTTAAACCTAAAGAAAAGTAGAGCAATCTACAGTAGGCCTGCTGTCATTACATACAAACTGAAGTAGCTTGGGTTCCGACCCTAATTTTGGTTATACTCGTGCTTTATTGCGCGCCATACCTAATTTAATTAGCGTCCCATGCTTGATTCCTTTTTTTTTCGTGATTGGCTTAATTCATGTTAATTAATCTTGGTAAATTTTCAAATTGAAGATGCGGATGTCTCGAATAGGGCTAAGCTACGCTTCTGACTACCTACAGTACTTGAATTAGTTAGTATTAGTTCTGGCCTGCTGAATGACTATAGACTGATAACCGTAGTACTGTAACTTACAGATAACCCTGCTCACCACTACAGTTACACCGATTTAGACATTGTTAAAAAGGTACTGTATTAAGTCAAAACTTAAAAATAGGCCAAGTCTCTCTCAGGGAGATGTAACATCTACCTGCTACTACTAGACTCCAGAGGCCTGGGCCATCTTCCTGGAAAGTGGTGTTGTGTTTGTAATTTATAGCCTAAAGCTTAATTGTTTTTTCCATTGCCCACTAGTCCTACTAGGGTCTATCCTAAATATTTTAGGCCTGTTTTATTAGGGAGGACTATTTTTTAGCCATGCCTAACTAGTTGACGCGAGTGACTCAGTTCCGTGGTTCCGAAAATGTGAACATTGTGGTTGGTTGAAATTGTTTATTTTGGTCCGCCCATTTATCCAAATATGGAACATAAGATTACATCATTCTTTTGGCATTATGGTACAAAATATTCCTCAACCCAAGTGTGAAACCATTTCCTTTACTGGCACTTTGCTCCCCCTGCCCCAGCAAAAACATCCTTGAGCGGGAGGAGTGGTGAATGCCCCCAGAAAGCCATTCTGGCCCAAAAGACTGGTAGGTACGTCAGCCTGTGAGTTTATACCACCAGGTTTAGCATTTTACCTTTATTGTTATGATATACAGTAATGCGGCTGCCCTGACTATAATGGGTAAACAACAGTTTTTTGGTAATATGGACAGGGTTTTTAATTTAAGGTAGGTCATTATAAAGAAAAAGGAGAAAATTATGAATGTTCTAGTAAGAATTATACAGAGATAAATTACACTGGATCTGTCAAACCTTAATACAATACTGTATATCATGAATAATTCTGGGCAAGACAAAGACACATTTAATAATGACACTGTAATAATTTTCACTTGAATTTAGCACTTACAGTATAGTGTTACATGCTACTCAATCTACAAGAAATATTTTAAATCAGCAGTGCTTCAAGAAAAAAGGGAATTATCATATTCACAATTATCGACATTTTCACAAGTGTACAAACAAATGCAAGGGCGAGGAGGTAGACAAATCTGTACACTTTTAAGTGTGCATGAAATTTTGATTCAAAATAACATTCATATTTATAATCAATATTTTTACCAATTATTATTCAGCTACGGATATAATATACATGATATTTAAGTAACCAAGTACGGTACTTTAGTTGATTCACAAAAAAAGGGAAAATGGAGTTTTTTTTTTATTAAAAAGTTATATGGGAGGGAGGGGGTACCGAAAAAGTCTACAGTAGCACAATACAAAAGTTTTAAGAGTTGATTATTAAAGAAGTGCCATCTTCATTCCAAGGTGTACAGTATGTTATCACTCAAGAATAAAAAAATCCCTGTTATTATCCACACTTTTCCAGTATCAAATTGGAAAAAAATACTGTATGTATTATTGTACAAATATCCAATTCAACTAAATGCAATAATGCTGCTAAAATTATGACCATAATTAAATTTAACCCTTTACATTATAGCAAAAAATACAATTTAAAAATTATTACTATATATTATTATTAAAATATAAAAAACATATATATATTAATTATCGTGTACTGTACTGATGACAACTAAAGTTTATTGAGTATATACATATACCACCTGCACGGTGAAGTCAAAATACACAGAAAGTAGATGGCAGTACAGTAAAACCAAGGTTTGTTTATTAGTATCCGTGGAAACCGAATATTGACATAACATAACACAGAGTACAAAAAATTCTCAATAATTTCACAAAAAGAAATCATAATGCAAATCACTTGATTCAATATTTCACTTCAGACTTTACTTCATTTTTTAAATAAAAAAAAAGATCTACTGTACTGTACGGTTATAAACATTTTTCAAGCACACTGCCTGACACTCAATATGGATGAGTTCATTCCCCAGGGTACAAATCTCTACAATCTGTGAACATTTGATAAATTATGGACAGGTATTTAGCAACTGGTGTGTGCTAACAGCACAGTAAACACCTAAGGGCACACTATACCATATTAATTACAGGTACATTATGATCTGACACATTTCAAGTGTAGACATTTTTAAATCATGCACACACACACACTATACATGATTTTTGTAGAGAGAAATAAAATTATTATATGTTAATATTATTTCCTCTTAAATTTTCCCTTTCAAACTCTTTCATGTTCCTTTGTTATCAAGTTACTGTATACACCATTCTACACAAGTTAGCATAGTTTAAAATCGGCTACGTGCCTATGTATGTCCCTTTAGTCAAAATTAATCCTGGATTTATCAAGTTCCATCATCGCTGGTGTGTACAATAAGTCGGCATTGCGCCCAGCTGGTTGAGGAAAGCGCTTCAGTTACAATGACAAATAGCAACGAGAGCAAATCAATACGGAATATCTATCACAATTATTTAATTCTGATTATTATGATATTAGAGTGCAATTAGTTCATTTTGTTCGCATTAATTTATTTCAACAAAATTATAATAAACTGTGTCAGATTTTTACTATCTTTCATTAGAATTCCTCATCATCATCCTCACCACAACCACTCATTAATTGTGTGTATAAAATTTTGTCTCAATTTCCTCTTTAATTAATTTGATGATTTCTTCATCATCCAATATTAATCATCTTGATTTCTTCATCATTAATTTTAATCATCTCATTTTTTACAACTCCTTATTCGATAACTGAATGCGAACTAATAGGATATTTATAAAGTCTGTTAATTCTGGCACCAATGTTTTTAATCAGCATAATGGACATTTCCAAAATTCAATCAAATACAGTACGTCACGAGATTTAAAGTTTGATGAATTTGCAAAGATGAGACTTTTCAATTAATAACTTGTCCCTCTAGATGGATCTGGGGGACATGCTTCCCTGGATGGAATTTTTTTCCATAGAAGCCTGATAAAATTTTTTCTTGCCACTTCAGAATAGCGTAGTGATTCCACAACTAAAATTCTGTTACAAATGTATTTTTCTCTGTGTTCATATAAAATGTGTTCTTAAAAAAAGTGCAGGCCCTACTGGTTATTTATGATCATTCAAAAATATATCTCAAACCCTTTACTTGTGTGCATGATTTACCATACATTCATGCATATATACAGTATGGCCCGTTAAAGCTAGGCTCTGGTTGAATAACATTTTTTTTTTCCCTAAGACATTGAGGGGAATTTAAACAAACGGTTTGGAAAGCTAATAATACAGTAATTTACAGACTTTTGAATATTGACAAATCTGGGAAGGGGGAGGTGGAAAGATAGAGATCTACAGTATGGTTGGCGAAGGCTTAGCCCCGAGTGGGCATGGCCCGCGGCCCGCTCACTGGCTTCTATTTTGGACGGCTTATTTCGTTTTTCTGGCTACTGTAAACCCCTGATGATAGGCTAAGTCCTGGTTGGACACGCCACCACATACCTTTAATGGGGTAAAAACAGCTACTGTACAGTGTAGTTTTATTTGCCAAACATGCCGTCGATATTCATTTATAAAACAAAGAGTATCAATTTTTCCCCATTCGGCACCTGGCTGTGCAAGAAACTATGTGCATCATATACTTTGTAAGCACCTGCATATCAATTTGTAATTGATCAGTAAAATAGTCTCTCTTCCCAATACTAGGCAAACAGTATTCAATTGGTATATACTACAGTAATATCAAAAAGACAATCAGGAACATAATTAAAAGCTTTATCATTAAAATCATAAAAATACTCAGAGATAACATAATCCTAATTTCATATCCTGGTAAAACTGTGGCTAGGACATAATAATTGAAAACTGCTTTTTTTGACAGGTGAAGAGCACACAAATTTTAATAACCTCATTATGACTGTTAACTTTGTTTTGAAATTATAAAAAATCTAACTAAAAAAATTAAAATGTCAAATAATGATGATAATTAAACAAACTATATGAGCAGAAGCATGAGTAAATATAGTAATTGCATCCTAATATTTCAGATCCAAAAATACAAAAATCTGCCTATAGGCAGATTATTGTTAATATCACCATACTGTAGCAATAAACAAAACATCCTGTTGAGCAGGGAAAGTTACCCTCTCAATAGTAGTTATATATTTCAGCAAAAGAAAAAAATAAACCCATCCAGACGTGTCATTTTTGATTGACTATGAATTTTTTATCTTCCAATGTTTGCAGAGTCCTATTAAAATTCAAGAATTTTGATTTACTGTATATTATACATTTTAAATGAAGTTCTTTATATTTTCAATTAAAAATTTGAGTGATACAGTTTTTTGGCACAATTATTTAGATGTATACTACAGTACAGTACCAGTTCAGTATATCTGTACCAAGTATCATACCATTATTCAGGATCTCTTCATATAGATCTTTAAATTAGGTGTTAATCAATTTAAGGTTTTCATAGTACAGAATAATCTTTGTCATATTGGAAGTTGATAAGTTATTTTAAATGACATTTGGATTTTGAGGCTTCATTCTTTTAATTTCACCAGAAAAATCATCAGAATTTACTGTCAACACTTCAGTCTGTGTACATGAAACACTTCTCATTCCCAATTATTTACTAACACTCAAATTATGCATTTTGTACTCATAAAATAAAGTGTGATGATATGCCTGGAGTGCATCCAAGATGACATTAACTTATTGCCTTGGATCAGTACTGTACATTCTCTACAATCTGATTTAATGAGTTTTTGTTTGTCTATACAGTATTCCTTAAAATTACTTAGGAATGAAAATATGCTATTACAGATATGTTCTCAAATTAAATCGGTATGACAACCTGAAAGTAAACACTTATTCGCAGACATGGACTTTAAAATTCATCTTGTTTTAGAGTACTGTAAGGCCTATGACTATATAACCATAGTCTCAACAAGTTTTAATTATAAATTGATGAGAGTCATATATTTTTATTTTGGTGTGTTTAAAAAGTCAGCCAGTTGATAGTTTTATACCTCTTACTCTTAGTCTCAGAATGAAAACAGTATCAAAAGGAGCCTGTTGATGATGTTCACTAATTCTTACCATCAGTATGGAGAGGATGGTCTTAAAGGATGAGGCATCAAATGTTGAAGGTTTTACGCTACACTACGGTAGCATAGAGAAGGATAGGACTAGGGATCAGAGTGACTACCGTACTGAATGTCCCGGGGAGGGGGTGATTGATTAAACCAAGGCAATTCAACAGAAGGACGCACACCTCGGGACATCAAAGGTTATAACTCTGGCATCGACATTCTAGGCGCATGTGCGTCCCTACACGCTGAACGTCACAAAAACCATAGCAACCAGACCATACCCTGTCACCGTATGTGACGATTTACCCACACGCGTGTTAGTTGCCATGATAATTGCACGTCGTGCGGTGATTACAAAGGACTAATGATATTTTGCACTAACATTAGACTGAAATATATTCTTCATTTCAACATTAATTTTACCAAAATTGTGGTGAATTGTCGTTCATGAGACTCAATTCGCAGAAAAAATTAATAAATGTTCTGTATATACTCAAATGCACGTTTTTGGCACCTTATGCCAACATTGTCAAAATGACAGATTAATGTTACATAAGAACATGAAATGTTGTAAAATTCGTAAAATTTAACTTGCTATAACTTTTCATTTTCTTGGTCAATTTTCACAAATCAAATTGCAGTTTAAAGAAGCATTTAACAAGCTTGCAGTAAAAAAAAATCAGATGTAACAGACATTGCGAAGTACCCAAAATTAATAAAATAAAAACCATAAAACGAATGGAACTCATAGACTAATAATTGATGGCTGTACTCGCAACTAGTATCGGATTGTCGATGCCACAGTAAAGATCAAAGGACTGTACGCACGCGCTATGTTCGAGAGCGGAGATGTGCGTCCTTCTGTAGAATTACCTTGATAAAACCATTCTGCATATTAATTAGATCCAGAAAATGATCTTGATAGCAATTCATATTTTTGTTCTGGTGTTTCATTGAACACTAGGAATTTTGATTGTGAAACAGAGTACTGTATTATGCCGAAGCTTTAAAAAAAAAAAAAGGAAAATAAAAAAGGAATTCTGTAATTTGATTCCAATGGAAAGTAAATGATGAGACACAATGGTAATGGGTATGGACATACTGCAAACAGGACAGTAATAAACACTTCAATTACAATTATATTTGTCATTTGTTATATGAAAATGATGCTGGGATTTTCTATCAGTATTCTCTCAAACCATTTCTTAATCATACACTACAGTCAATTATTATATCTACTTTATACCTCCATGAATTATACAGAGGTACTGTACAATAGGAGTGACTGCCGGACGAGCAGCCAATGCTAATGAGGAGGCATAAAAATCCATTGACAAATAGCACAGTAAGATGATGCTGGATCAATCAGACAGAAACAGAAATAATGTATTGAAAACATTGATCACAGTCATTTCAACACTATACAATGCAAACATTGAGGTTTTTTTATACTGTATGCTCCAATGGCTGTAAACTGTGACAGTACATTCATCAACATAATGGAAAAGGAAACAATATTATTATTTATAGCAAATAAACATTAGTTTTATAAAAGTATATTTAACTACCATTCAGACTAGTTTGGACCAAAAATGTTCTGAGCTCTAATGAAAAAATTTAGGAAAAAAATAATCTAAGTGATTATTCCATCATGCTGAGGTTGATTTGACGATTGTTAAAATTACAGAACTATATTAATTCTATACATTAGCCTGAGTAAGGTGCAATTGCAATTAAAATCAAGTTCTAAAGAATCAACTTTATTTTTTCTTGTTTTGCCTTAATCCTCAATAAAAAAAAAATGACACATTTACAATAAATGTGAAGTTAGTTTTACCAAAATTGGACTTGAAAAATTAAGCATTGTTTACAAAGTGAACTTTTTTTCTGGGGAATTATGCTGTTTTCTAAATGGTTAATTCAATCTTTGTTGTTTGCTAGAGGAATCTAAATATTTTAATATTGTACACAGCAATGCAAAAGTTGGATTTCAAATTGTTTGAGTGATTGTACCCAGGGTATAATAAACTTTGTTTTGGTTAACAATTGATTACTTGATTAGAAAGGTTAGTTGCCTAATGCAGCGTGTGGTTTGTAAAGCGCACAGAAACACAATAAGACATTTTTGTTTTGGTGTTTCATTGAACACTAGGAATTTTTATTGTTGAACAGAGTAAAAAAAAAAAAAAAAAAATGTAGTTCAATTACTGTAATTCTAATGTTATAAAAAAAATGAGAAACAAATTGGTAAGATTTAATGGCGAAACCAAAATTAGAGATGGTCAGGATTTTAAAACCAGCCTTTGAAAGGTCCAAAAGTCAATAAAATGATAGGATTGTTTTCAACGATCTCAAAGATGGCATGCAGGATTAATATTTTATATAATTAGTTTGGTTTAATTCTTACGTTTCCATCCAGCGTTGGGCCCACTATTGTAACATTGAAAACATTACTATGTGGATAAATATTACCATATAATTTACAATAACAATGCCAATAATTAATACATAGTTGGTAGAAGTGTCCTTGTCGCAGCCCTGGTTAATTGATAATTCTACTACCAACACACCTGTGGACACGATGACAAGATTAACAAACAACATTAAAATATGTCAAAAGGCTACATTAATTACATTAAAATTAATAACAAAGTAAATTAAGACATGCCTACATTACGGTACTGCATGTTCGTGTATCGCCTTTATTACTTTGTGGATAATAACATAAAACATTAATACATTCATGTGTGACAACAAAATAATATAATATAATTACTAAGATTTAATAAACATTAAAAGGCTTTTCCATTAAAATATACCAAAAGCGACTCAGTTCATGGGCCAAGATGGTTAAGGGCCACGATGGATAATGGCCGAGTCGGTTAAGGGCCGAGTTGACAAGGGCCGAGTTGGTGTATGAGCCGAGTAAATTATGGGTCGAGTCAGTTAAGGGCCATGTTGACAAAGGCCGAGTTGGTGTATGGGCTGAGTCGGTTATGGGTCGAGTTAGTTAGGGGCTGAGTTGGTATGGTTCGAGTTGGCGAAAGGGCCGAGTTGATTTGCACTAGTAGGTCTAAGGCCTAAGCTAAGTAATATAATATTATTAAGTGTTCATAAGAAAGCCTAGCTAGCCTAGGCCTTCTACCTAGTTAGATACAAAACCGCTAGCAGGCGCTATAGATCGGCAATACACACATTGCGATAGAAAATAGTGCCCTGATGGAGATAGGATATCCAATGTATTAATTGGGTATTTCGCGGAAGTATACAACAATTTGACCGAATTACTTCCAGATAACACTCCAGAAATGATTTCTGGACCAAGTTATTGGCTTTTTAAGCGCGCGAATCGATTTAGTAGAAGTTTTTTTAGTACAACCGATGTTTCGTCTATTTTCAATAATAAAAGGAAACCTTCGCTAGTTTTTTGGTTAATGTGTTTGTTTTCTTCAGTTTTTAAACTATAAAGATAAGTAAGTTTTAAATAACATTTGTGAGCATATAAATTGAAATAGATGGCATAAAATTCTATTGGTGGGGTAAACGATGTTTTCCCCGCTGGCCACCGTGTTGTCTGAGGCCTGCAATTAGGCCTAGATTAATGCGATTCAATATAATTTATTATACGTAGAATCTATAAGTTGATAAAAATTATTAAATCTAATATAAATTTTAAAATATATATATACTAAAATACTAAATTATATCGTTAGTAATTGTCAAGTATTATTTTAACATGGTCTAAAATGCTACATAATTATACTGTAAGGGACACACTTCTTGTATAATAAAAACAATAGGAATCAACTCCAGCAGAAAACATATTTAAAATAGCAATATCTCCACTAATATTATTGGTCCGATTTACATAATTTTTGTTTTAAAATGCTTTATTCAGTTATGTCTTTCTATTAAAAATAAATAAAAAAATATTTGGGACATTTCAATTTTTTTTGTTTCTAGCTACCCTATTACTAGTAGACTAGAAAGCTGAGTTTAAGTTTTGTAGGCCTAGGGCCTAATGGAATGCATTCATTAGGCCTAATATTAATTGACTGGTTCGAATAGTACTCAGGCCTCTCGAATTTTTGTAGTTTACTGTCTCCATGACTCTCATGGCAACATATAATAAACAACGCAATCGCTCTAGGCCAAGTAAATTATCATAAACAAATCACATAGGCCTACCTAGATTGAAACGGTATTCTGGTGCCTAGGCCCCTAGTTTCTTCAGCCGACAACGCACAAGGGTCGGCCAGCCTTTATCTACGATAGCTCTCCCCTCTCTATCAAATGATTAACGATACTCAGCAGCAGAGCTAGCACCGCCCTTCGTCTCCACCTGACTGAGCCTGTCTGTGTGTGTATGCAGTAGAAAGCAGGCTAGAGCCAAACACAATTAACTAGATTAATTCCGAAGTAGTTGAGTATTATATTCATTCACCATGAATTCTACTAGACAAATTCATCTCCTTCGTTTGACAGTAGACCTAGATCAGATTGTCATCAAGCACCGATTAATAATTTATCTACTTTCTTATCACCAACTTCTCTCACACTCAGGTAGAAACTTCCAACATTCTTGCTTGACACACATGACCTTTGATCAAAGAGTATGCTTTGATCGTGAATCATCGTCTTTATAGAGGGCACTGTTTCATATTAAACGACAGAGCCGTAGATAGAGATCTTATACACATCTAGATGTGTATAAGAGACAGTCACCATCTTGATATTAAATTAGTAAATTAACAATAACTCTCACTCTGACCTCTTGGATAGATGGATGGATTTATTTGGTGTAAACACCAAGGATAACCCACGAAAGTCTAGAAGATATATTTCCAGTGGTGTAGACCACAGAAGAAAAAAAAAAATTCCAATTTTTAGGTACTCTGTATCACAATAAAAATAAAAGAAAAAAAATGTGCACGAACACATGTGTCCAGGCAACCTGGTATCGGATCAAGAGTCGGTGAGATAACTTTACACCAGTGTCGTCGGACCAAAAATTAAAAAAAATACAAATTTTCCTATCCAAATAATGCTGTTTTGATTGCCAATTCCAAATATTGTGGTCTAAAAGTACATTTTACAACCAAATTAAGCCATAAAAACTTTCCCCATGAACCCTAACCATTGAATTTTTTATTCTCGGCCGTCAACTGAGGCTTCGTCGTCGCCTTGGTTCAGACTCCTTATTGGCAAATTTCTGGCACCACCGCTGGACAGTTCAAAATCTGCCTAGGCCTAGCCTAGACTCGGTCTAGCTATGGGGTTTTTAGTGGTCTTTAGCAGCTTTGGTCTCTAATTTGAATCAATATAATTAAAGACCGGCTTTAAAAGTAGTCTCTAATATCTCTATTTAGAGGGGAATTAAGAAATGATATAGTAAATGTAAGATGTGTGAATGGGTGTAGGGCTTACAGTTACTGTAAGATGTTATTATTATTATTAATGCTAAAACTATTTCCATGTAATCCATGTGCATGGTGGTCTTTTGGCGTCGAATTCAAGTCCCAATTTGGAAGAATCCACATCCGGGAGATCTGTTTAAATGAATTTTCTTATCACAACCAAGTTTGCTGTGCATGGTGATAACCATTAATGATTGGTACTAACTGCTGCGCAGACAATTGACATTACAGTTTCAAAACTTGTTAAAGCATGCAAATATCATCATGAATTTGCGGGAGATGGTTTATTTCGGCGAAAAATATGCTGGAGTTCTTCCTGTCAGTTTCTAGGAGACCCCATTGCGAGACTCTACGGGAGACATGAAACACATGGGTACTAAAAAAATAATACATTAAAGGTTTTAAAATGGTTGTACAGTCACTGCCTGCTCTTATTTATTCTTAATTAAACATTTCTTAGTAGCCAGACATCAACTTGTCTTTCCATTAAAATATTACTGACATTGCCACTAACATTTATCGTCATTCAATAGAAAAAAAATGCTACACACAAAACAGTGCATTGGCTAATATATCTACGTGTAAGTAATATAGGCCTATAACACAATTTATTGTATTGCCGTGTACATTTCAACTTTATTGACAATCCTTAATTTCAATATTGAAGATTGATTTTGAAATTGTTTAGAGGTATAATATAAAATAACTATTATAACATTTTGGCAAAGGTATAATGGCCAAGCCGGCCCTGATTAGGCCTACTTCCAATATAAAAAATTGTAACCTTTAAATTAAAAGTGAAGACATTAATTTTTCTAAAATTATGCATGTGCTATTTCCCGGCCGAGGAGCCATTTTTTCAACTATGGTGAAAAAAAAATATGTTGCACCCCACCCACCCATGCCCACTCTTATTAAAATGGCCGGACACACTTGCAAAATGCTTCCGACGGCTATGATACATACATAAACAAAATTGAGTAGTTGCATACGATTTTTTTGTCCATGAATCCATAAATCCCAAAAAGAAAGGGGGGTTCGGGGGTCCTCCCCCGGGAAAATGTTGATTCCTAGAAGGCGGGAAATGAGCTTTTCCGTCTTCTGAAGTGTCTTTTAATTACTTTTAAGTTCTTCAAAATCAAGGCTTTCCCCTCTTGAAAATTATTATAATGAATCAATGAACTCAAAGAGAAAATGGAGGTTCGGGTTCTTCCCGGGAAAGTGTTGATTAAATGGTGGGAAATGAGCTTTCCCAACTTTTCAAGTAGCTAGGTTTTAGCTAGGTGTCTAATGACTTTGTTCTCCAAAATTCAAGGTTTTCCCCCTCTTGAAAACGGTCAGGTAAACTTTCTCATTCTTATTACAGTAAATTGGCCGGTCTGTCTCTTATACACATCTAGATGTGTGTTGTGTGTGTATACATACATAAAAAAAAATTAGTAGTTGCATATATACGTATTCATTTTTCAATTAATCGATAAGCTCCAAAGACAAGGGGGTTCCGGGGGTTCTCCCCCGGGAAAATTTTGATTCCTAAATGGCGGGAAATATTTCCGACTGAGGTGTCTTAATTACTTTTAAGTTCTTCAAAATTCAAGGTTTCCTCTCTTGAAAACGGTCAGGTAAGTTTTTCCACTTGTTATTACAGTAAATAGGCCTTATGTGTGTATACATACATATAAAAAATATTGAGTAGTTGCATATAATTTTTTTTTCATAATTCGATAAATCCCAAATAGAAAGGGGGTCCGGAGGTTCTCCCCCGGGAAAATTTTGATTCCAGAAGACGGGAAATGAGCTTTCCCGACTTCTGAGGTGTCTTTTAATTACTTTTAATTTCTTCAAAAAATTAAAGGTTTTTCACCTCTTGAAAATAATTCAATGAATCAATGAACCCCAAAGATAAAAGTGTCCGGGTTCCCCCGAAAAATTTGATTCCTAGAAGGCGGGAAATGGGCTTTCCCGACTTCTGAAGTGTCTTTTAATTACTTTAAATTTCTTCAAAATTCAAGATTTCCCCCTCTTGAAAATGATTCAATGAATCGATGAACCCCCCACAAAAAGGGGTTCCGGGTTCCCCGGGAAAATTTCGATTTCTAGAATGCGGGAAATAAGATTTCCTGACTTCGGAAATGTCTTTTAAATGACTTTTTAAGTTCTTCAAAATTCAAGGTTTTTCCCCTCTTGAAGACGGTCAGGTAAAATTTTCTCATTTTTTATTTTATGTGTGTATACATACATAAATAAATGAGTAGTTACATGCGTATTCTTTTTTCCACGAATCGATAAATCCCAAAAAGAAATGGTGGTCTGGGGGTTCTCCCCCGGGAAAATTTTTATTCCTAGATGAATGAGCTTTCCCGACATTTGAAGTGTGTTTAACGACTTTTATGTTCTTCAAAATTCTAATCTTCTTATAGTAACATAAAAAAATTAAAAAAAACAGCTCACGGGTCCTGAAAAGGTAGGTCTAGAATTCTTTTTTTCCTTTTTTTTGTTGCCCAAGGGAAGGGTCAGGACCCATGACCCCTCTCCCCCAGATCCGCCAATGTGAATTGCGAGAAAATGTAACTCGGTCTGGGACTGGATAAACATTCTTTTCCCATCCTTCTCCTCCTTCCTTCTTTCTTTTCTTGCATTTCTTTCCGATCATACAAAAATCTCCAGACATAATATATTTGTTGCCAAAAAGTGGGGGCATGTACCGCCCGCCCCACTTCGCGGTAATAATATATCCACCTACTACTACTAGGCCTAGACAGGCCTAAATTTCGGTACTTCTTCGGCCGAACATCTTAAGGTAGTACTTAAATCAGCTTAATTACGATGATAATAAAAAAAAAGGAAGAATTTTCAAGCAGCAATGATTTATAAAAACATGTAATGTTGCACTTTGCTGTTAAATTATATAACTAAATTTCCAGAAAGCTACATGAAGTATCAGTCAAAGGTAGCTTAATTATAATTAAAAATAAAAATTGAATCCTCCAATAAAAGCGAAAACTTGTCCAAGGAGTCCTGTGCTATGCAAACATGCCCAATTATGCTTTACCAATCAATTAATTGTGCAACTAAAGATTTTAAAGATAAAAATATATTTTAAAGATATAGGCCTAATTGTGTTATAATATATTGATTGTTTTAATACATATTTTAAATCAAAACGTTTAAATTTTTTACAAATTACAAATCAAAATTTCAATGAATAGTAAATAATGAATAATAAATAATAAATAATAATAATAATAATAATAATAATAATAATAAATAATAATACAGTAATAATGATAATATTATAACTCAATAATATTATAAACTGAAGTGTGGAGAATGCTGCTATTTTACTTACAAGGCCTAGTTCTTGATTATGAATGATTAGGCATATGTTGTACAAACATTTCTCTCAATGCAATAATTCTTCAACTTTGATTTATTGTTTAGATTACAATTTACAAATAGGCCTAGGCTATTTGTTGGTTTGAAGATGACCAGCATATTTTATTTCATAAATTAAAGTTTAGTTTAATTGTATCTAGAGGCCTAGATACAATTAGAAAACTTTCATGTTATTAATATTTTTATCATTCATTTACAGGTGAAATTAACATATTATCGCCGACGATTCACAAACCTACTCAGTCTGCACAACCAATTTCTCCTCTGCAGTGTTGACTCTTAGGAGCTTCATGCTATATAGAGTAGGCTGCTAGCAACTAGGTATAGGCCTAGATGATAGACTTTCAAAACAAAAAGATAATCGTAATGGAAAAAAAAAAATAAAGAATCGTCCTCACTTTATCTTCTCGAAATAATACAGCACGTCACTGATTAATTAATTCCAAAGTTAGGTAAATATGATTATACAGTATATGATTTACAATGATATGTTAAAATCCCATAATTGAATTGTCCTCATGAACAGAATAATGAAAGAAAGTTTATGCAGCATCATTGTTTTATAAATGTATACGCGCGAACGCTGTTTGGTGACAACATAGCGCCCATGCGCCAAGTTGGCCAAACTCTCTCTATCTACGGCTCTGTTAAACGAATTCAACTATAAAAATTGAAGTCACTGGAACCTGAAGCACTGTATTTTTGTAAAATTGGTTTCCAATTTAGAAAGCTCTACTAAATGGAAACCATGACTAAGACTGGTCTTTGAACACTAAATTAGGGGTAATTGAAACCGAAATCGTCTA